TTGTTTGGGCAAACAAAACAGAACTAAGGAAAGCAAAGGGAGATAAGTTTGACGGCCAACGGTTATGAAATGCACACCACTTTAAGGGAGGATTTAGGGGACTAATGTTGATTTCTCTCTTAGCTTTGATTGCTGACCCAAGGAGGAAGGTGATTTGGGCCATAAGTATCACCATGATGGGTGTGGTTCTCTTTGATTTTGCTGCTGACTTCATCGATGGGCCCATCAAAGCCTACTTATTTGATGTGTGTTCCCACCAGGACAAGGAAAGGGGCCTTCACTACCATGCCCTCTTCACAGGTAAGGAATGTTCCAGAAAGTCTCTCCTTCAGTGCCCTAGACAGGAAGGCACTTCTGTAGAAGCCGTCCAATGACGTTCAGTGAGTCAGTGAGTTTTTCCGAATGAATGGATCAATTGATGGATTGCCACCCTCACGTGGGCTGTCTCCAGTGCATTTCTTGAATAAAGTCAGCTTGTGATCTGGGGCTGAGCGTTCTTGCAAAGGAAGTTCACATAGAGTTTTCTAAAAAAAAAAAAAAAAAAAATTTATGGAAACATTTACAACTGAAATGAAAAGAGGCCTTGTGAACTTTACTTTTTGTTTTAGAGCTGTGGGCCTAAAACAGTAATGCAGCATCTATATGACACTAGGAACTTGTTAAAAGTGCAATTTCCTGGACCCCTCCTCCAGTTATTCTGGTTCTGTGGGGCACAGGTGGGGCCTGGAAATTAGCATTTTTAATGAGGATCTCTGGTGATTCTGTAACAGGTGTCCTAAGAACCACACTCAAAGACAGAAACAAAACATTCTGCCTTAGAGATACCTTAGTTACATAAAGAGTTGGTATCTTCTAAATCTCCTGCCTTGAAGAAGACCATGTCAGGAGGACAACACCAGGGCTCTCCTGATTTCTTGGGGCTGTTGCTGGCCTCCTTTGGTTGCAGTACCATTTAGAACAGTGCTACTAATTGATTTTCAGTGTGCATACATAGAACACCAGTTACTACAAAAATAGATAGTTGGACAGATGGATGGATGGATGGTAGACAATGATAGATAATGATGGCATTTGGCTGCTAACTAGAAGGTTGGTGGTTCAAACCCACCAACCACTCCGCAGAAGGAAGACCTGGCAATCCACTTCCATAGAGATACTGCCTCAGAAAACCACTGGGGGTCACTATGAGTCAGAATCGACTTGATGGCAATGGGTTTGGTTTTTGGTTTTGGATGGGTAAGTAGATTTTTGAAAAGCAAACCAACCAGTGGTCGTTGAGTCAATTCTGAGCCATGACAGCTTGATGTGTATCAGAGTAGAACTGCTTGATAGTGTTCTCAGTAACTGTTCAATCCTAACAAGGTCTTGAGGAGGTGAAGTGATTCCCATTTTTTAGACTTGAAAGCTAAGCCTTAGAGGCAGTGGTGTATTAGAGGCTAGCTCATACTAATTAGCTTGTGAGAATCAATTACTAAGTTTTTAGGAATTTGGTGAGTAGGTTGACATCACGTTAGTGTCTTGAAATTGTCCGTGGTGGGAGTATTTACACTACAGAAAGTGGCAAGTGCTTTTTTTTTTTTTAACCCCATGAAGAGCCAGTGGTTAAACATTCATCTAACACCCACAGCTTGGAGGGGATGTGAACTAATTCAGTAACTCGCTAGCAGGCCCCAGAATAGGAATTAAAACTTTGTTTTCTTTTTTAAAAATTTTTATTGTGATTTGGGTGACAGGTCATAGAGCAAATTCATCTTCCATACAGCAGCAGTTCACGTACACTTTGTCTCATGACATTGACTGCAATTTCCCACAATGCAACAGCTCCCCTCCTCTTCCTCCTCATAGTTACCTCTTCCCTGTGTCCTTCCCTCCATGCACTCCTGCCCCCTGAGCCATCTCCCTGTGCATACACAGCCCTTCTATTCTCTCATGATTGATCTCTCCAAGGAATGTATCTACCTAATGTAAATGTTGAGTCGGGTCCCCTAAACGGCAGGTAACAACAACAAACAATGTAAATGTTCAGCTCATATGCTTGTGTTTTGTTTGGCTAAAAGCCATAGGAGTGGGTTCAATTCCAGACCTGAAGGGCAGCTAGGGGCCAAACTTCATTTTCTTAATGGATTCCATGATTCCTTTTACTTTAACATGATTTGCTTAAATTAGTTCCAGTGAGGTCACGGGAGAGTTTTGAATCTTGAACCTGACATATTGCAAGTTTTATCACTCTACAGGACTTTGGGCAACGTGCCCACCACTTCACAGCTTAGCACACTATTAGGCTGAACAAACTACCTCTGCTTTGCTTGTCTTGACATTAGGAGGATAGGTTTATTAAATTCTGGGTTTTGGAAACTTTTGTAAGGCTGATACATGATAATGCTTCTATCAGTTTGAGAAAATATATCCATTTTGAGATTTTCTGTTCATATTAGCATATGGTATGTTCTCAGAAGACAATCATTAGTGCACATATATGTTGATATTACCCTGATTCAGGCCCTCACTACATCATGTCTGAGGTTTCATGGCTGTCCCTTAATTCTTCCAGTGTCTAGTTTCTTCCCATTCCAATTGAACCAACGTATGCCTTCCAGATTCATATTCTTAAAAGACAACTCTGACCAGGGCACTCCCTTGCTCAGTGACTTGCCAAAACCAAACCAAAAACTCACTGCCTTCGAGTCAGATCCAACTCATAGCGACTCTTCCTTGGGTTTCCGAGGAGGTATCTCTGTGGAAGTAGATTGCCCAACCTTCCTTCTGAAGAGTGGCTGGTGGGTTTGAACCGCCATCCACAGCTGGGAGGGGATGTGAACTAATTCAGTAAAGTTGAGACATAGACCCCTTTGGCCAAACTATTTACACAGAGGGAAGGAATCTCTTTTCATGTTCAAGGCCACTTTAATCTTCTCTCATATGGTCCGTGAAAAATCATAGATTTTCTCAGTCTGGATCATGATTTCGTTTCATCAATGGGACTCCATTTGAAGTTGCTACTTATGGTGAACTTTCATATCTCCCTACTTGGGCAGATCTGAGAGGCCGTGGCCAGCCCAGAAACCAAGGATAAAGGAAATTCTGCTTTGTAGGTGCTGGAGGTAACCAAGGGTAAGACACTTGCTGTCTTGACAGTGTTATTCCCTTTCCATTCAGATGTGGTCAGTGCAACTCTCAAAGAATTGTGGATGTGGAAGACTTGTAGTAACACCATGTGACAGAGTAGAATTCCCCATAGGTTTGCATGGGCTGTAATCTTGCAAAAGCTAGACAATGACTAACGAAGACCAAAGAAGAATTGATGCCTTTCAGTTATGGTGTTGGTGAAGATTATTACAAATACCCTGGACTTCCAGAAGAATGAACAAATCTGTCTTGGAAGAAGTACAGCCAGAAAGTTCCTTAAAAGCAAGGATGGTGAGCCTTTGTCTCAGTTACTTTGGCCAAGTTATCAGGAGAGGACAGTTCCTGGAGAAGAACGTCATGCTTGGTAAAGTGGAGGGTCAGCGAAAAAGAGAAAGACCCTCAATGAGATGGATCGACACAGTGGCTGCAACAGTGGGTTCAAATGTAACAACGAATGTGATGATGGCACAGGCGTGGGTGGAGTTTCCTTCTGTTGTCCAGAGGATCACTGTGAGTCAGAACCAACTCAGTGGGACATGACAACAATCTTTACGGAAACCAACTGACAAATCTTTCTCCTGGAGAGTGCTGGTGGCTTCGAACTGCTGATCTTTCTATTAGCAGCCAAGTGCTTAACCATTGGGCCACCAGGGCTCCTGTCAGTTCATTAGTGACCTTCAATTCCCTGGTTAGGGATTTACATAATGAATATTTGGGTAATAATGGCCCTGGGTGGCACAAATTGTTGGGACCCATCCAGAGGTGCTTGGAAGAAAGGACTGGCACTCTGCCTCCAAAAAGTCGCAGCCTTGAAAACCATAGAGAGCAGTTCTACTCTGCACTAATAGGGTCCCCTTGAGTCAGCTGACTTGAAGGCACCTAACAACAGCATCATTTCTTCACACTTTTCTGTGAATATACACAGTTTTGTTATCTTGGTGTGCTATCGAGTCAATTTCTACTCACAGCAACCATATAGGACAGAGTAGAACGTCCCTATAGGGTTATCTAGGCTGTAATCTTTATGGAGACAGATTGCTAGGTCTTCCACAGAGCCTCTAGGTGGGTTCAAGCCACTGAGCTTTCAGTTGGCAGCTGAGCACTTAACCTGTGGGCCACCAGGGTACCTTGTACTTAGAATAGCGCCTGGATATGGAAAGTGCTCAGTAGATATTTGTGGAATAAATATTTTACCACACTCATTTTACTTATGAGACAGCTGTGTTGCTGAGAAGTGAAGTGACTAACCCAGGGTCACACAGCTGATTAGAGGTAGGCCAGGGGCAAAAATCCACCAACCAATCACCAACCAACCAACAGCATGGTTCATACCAGTCTGGATTTTCCTAAAAGCTGAGCTCAAAAGAGATTTGCATGCAGAGCATTTACTTGGGAAGGGATTCCAGACAGCAAGAGGAAATGGTGGAGTGGAACAGGGGAAATTAACATAAGAAGCTTTACAGAGTTGACATTTGCTCTTGGTGGCTACCCTCCATCTCAGCAGGACCTTTTGAGACATCTTATGAAATGCATCTCAGAAGTCGTCTTCTAGTCTCCATGTAAGTTTGATGTGAACTCTGTAAACACCTTCTGGGGGATGATGGGAGTAAGATTAGACCATGGGCTCCAGACTCCATTGGCCAAGGGTGGTTCCATGGGTGCTAATTTCCCTTATATGAGTGCTGAATCCCACATGTGTATGGGTTCCTTTGGCAAAGTCTGATTGGCACTGGTCACTGTGCAACAGCTAAAGCAAGATGATGCTGACACAGGGCTGTCTGGCTCTATTCACGATTCCTACTCCTGAGCATATTTACTGTAGCATATGGAATCTGTGCTGCTTGGTTACCACTATGAAACATTTAAGCATTTTGCAAAAACACTCAACAATCTGCCTTACAGTGCAGTGAGCTATTACAACCCAAAGTAAAAATATTAGTTCTGCAGATTTATCAAAAATGCAAGGTAGCCACAAATGGAGGGAGCTCTGGTGGTGTAGTGCCTAAGGCATTTGACTGCTAACCAGAAGACTGGCAGTTCAAACCCACCAGCCACTCCTCAGAAGGAAGGTTGGGCAATCTGCTTCCCTCAGAAACCCAAGGAGGGGTCGCTATGAGTCGGGTCCGCACATAACAACAACAGCAGCCACAAATGGCTGCAGGACCAGGCCAATTAATGACTTATTTTTGCAGTCATTTCTAATGACTTAAGCAAAAAACAAGAAACAAGGATGAGATTTTTGTGAGTTGTGTCAGAAAAAGGAAGGTTAGGGGAACAATAGTCATTAATATGCTCAAATTATAAAAGGTGCTTTCAGACAATTATGGAATAATTAGGATAAATGTTCTGGGTGAGCCATTTGTGCACTGAACCCTTTAGTACATTAGCAGCTTTCAGCAGGGACACACATTGCAGTCTCCATGCATTGTAATCTAGCTGTCTCTGGGAACACACTCCACCAGGTCTCTGCATCCATTTATTCAATGTGGAGAGAATATGATTTTGGCATTTGCTTTACTGCAAATTTTCCAGCTTATCATGATATAGCTTATACTCAGAGATGAAAACATTGGGCAAATTTTTATGTCTAACATGAATGTAAACTCCAAATCGCAAACTTCGTTTAACTTCTGTTTTGAACCAACTGCCCCACCATGGTGAAAACTTAGTCAATTTGGAATGATCTGCTACCTCTTTCCTCAAGGGTTGCCTCAGTTCTGGTGGACTTATAGTGTGAAGGCTGTGGAAGTGAGACTGCATTTGCTTTCTAGTGTCATCTGTTCATACTGAGGAGTCCCTGGGTTAATTTAGTGGGCTCATAATGGGGAGTCCCTGGGTTAATGGCTAAGCACTCAACTACTAACTGAGACACTGGTTCAAATACACTCAGCATGCCTCAGAAGAAAGGCGTGGTGATCTGTTTCCGAAGGACACAGCCATTGCAAACTTTGTGGAAGTAGTTCTACTCTGATGCACAGAGGATCTCTATGAGCTGTAGTTGACTCAGTGACAACTGGCTTGGTTTTGGTTCATACTGGTGTTTACTGAGATGCTCATGATCTCATTGGTCGGGTTGAGCTGGTCACAACTGAGCCAGGTCTCCTTCCTTTCTGCAAAGCCCCTTCAGGACCACAAGGTTCTTTTTCTCCCTCGCAGCTGTTCTCTTTCCCCTCGCCATGTCAGTGTGACGTGAACTCTGTAGACCCCAATCTCTCCATGCTTTGATTTCCTTGTCTCTAAAATAGAGATGAAACTTGTACTTTCCTCACAGAGTTGTTAGGAGGATTGGATGCTTCAGTAAGTGTCAGCACTTAGAATAAACCTGGCCACAATAAGCTCATCTGTATCAACCCACCACACAGCCCTTTCTTCCTTGAAGGCTTGCTCCCTCTCTGGAGTCTCCCCAGGAAATGAGGCACCAGTATCTCTCCTCTGCTCTTGAATCCCACAAGCTTTCTGGGGTGGTCTGCTCCCTACCTCCCATACTCAAACCCCAGCTAGAACCAAGGAGCTGGGAGCAAGACCACCCCTACCTTAGTATATGAGTAGATAGATGGGTGGACAGGCTGAACTATTAGGTATGTCTGTGTATCAGGGAGTGTACCCAAAACCATGTATGGGGTTGGCAGACAATGGTCCTACAAGTGTATTTGTATGTTCTGTAAGAACTCCCAGGGGTATAGTAGAGTTGACGAGGGACAAGGTTGTAGTCACTTCTTGGTCACAGCCAACTACCCAAAGGGAGTGAGCAGTTGAACCTGTGGGCTCGGGACCATAGTTGCAGAGGACATCAAGCTCAATTAGCATAACATCCTACACAAAACATTGTTCCACCTCCTACTTTGGCGAGTAGCAACTGGGATCTTAAAAGCTTGCAAGCTGCCATCTAGATGCAGTGATGTGTCTGTCTCTTCTTGTCCAGAGCAAAGAAGAATGAAGAAAACCAAAGATTAATGGAAACAATTAGTCCTAGCGACTGGTACACCATGCGATCCAGAGCCTATATGACTATGAGACCAGAAGAACTAGATGGTGCCTGGCTACCACTGTCAACCACTTGGAGGGGGATCTGTGTAGGAGATCCTGGATGAAGTGGGAGGACAAGGTGGAACAAAACTCAAAGTCATTTGAAGAAAAAAAAAAAAGGACCAGTTTCGCTGGTCTGATAGAGCCTGATGGAACCACTGAGACTATGGCCCCTAACTGCCCTTTAGGTCTAGAATTGAACCCTCTCCTGTAGCTTCAAGCCAAACAAAAGACAGGCATGTGAGGTGAAGATTTACCTGAGGTAGATACACTCCTTGGAGAGAACAATCATGGAGAAAGAAGGGCTGTTTATGCACAAGGAGACAGCTCAGGGGGCAGAAGTACATGGAGGGAAGGACACAGGGAAGAGGTAACTATGGGGAGGAAGTGGGAAGGGAGCTATTGCATTGTGGTAAATTGTGGTCAATGTCATTAGACAAAGTGTATGTGAACTACTGTATAGAAAGTAAATTTGCTCTGTAAACTTTCACCCAAATCACAATAATAATAATAATAATAATAATAATAAAAGACCACCCCTGCCTTAGAGGTTCACCAGTATCTTTGCACCCGTCATGAACATCGCAGCCCTCCCTCACCTCCAGTTTGAGAAAGTCATGTCTAGCCTGGGAAGCCTTGTTTTCTACTGAATCTTCTCTCTGTGCCATGAGTCCCTTCCCCTCCTCATTGAGCCTACAGGCTTTTGAAACTCAAAGGCAAAGACAAGCATTCTTGTTTTTCTGCTGTCTTCTATCACATCCTGTCCCTGAAGCAATGAGGCATCCTGGTCCAACTTGGATATGAAGGAATGGACCAGCAGGAAATACCGGGGGCAGGGGGATTTTGGAAATAGTGGTTAATATTGTAAACATTCCATCTCACTTTATTTTAACAGAAAATGTACTTTATAAGGGAGCTCTGGAGGCATACTGCGTATAAGGAAGTATCAGATCTGCTTGTGTCTTCTGTCTTTGACCGGAGTATATGTGTCATTCTGGTTGGCTTTCCTTATGCTCAGCCTCCATGGTCCTTTGCCATTCCATAACAAGTTACAGATCAGTAGTTGTGATCCATAGGGGTGTTTTTATTGGCTGTTTTTCAGAAGTAGGTTGCCAGGCCTTTCTTCCTAGCTTATCATAGTCTGGAAGCTCCACTGAAACCTGTTCTACGTTTTAGCAATATGCAAAGCGCCACTGACAGACACGTGGTGCATTGGCCAGGAATCGAGCTCCCATTGAACCACCATGGCCTTTGGCTTAGGGTTAGAGAGAAAGAATTCTTTAAGTTCTTTTCTCTTTCGTGATTCTCCGGTTTGTGGTGATTATATCTTTATCTGGGAAATAAAATGGACACTTCACTCATAAGACCAAATAAATAAATATAAATAAAAGGCTGATGGTGTGTCCAGGGAGATATTTGTGTTTGGTAATGTATGCTAGGAGGCTGGCATTGAAAGGTGTTTGATGAACGATCAGCCCTACCAAGCTGTGGCGTAGGTAGAAGCTGTGTTTAGCCTCTAGCTCCTGTCTTCACTAGTATCCTCCCACTGTGGCTTGGCCCCGTTTCAGCCTGCTGTTTGCAGAAGGAGTCACTGATGCCTCGCACCATGAGGAACATCTTAGCAGCACTTGGTACTTTGACATTGACTAGAGTAATGTCCATACCCGGAAGACTTGCATTTAATCACAGGAATCCAAAGAATGACTCACTAAAGAGTGGGATTTCATGTATTGGTACCAATTTTGAGAAACCCTTACTTGATGTCCCTGAAGTCACACCATGCTTAAACATAAGCAGATAAAACAAGCACCAGATATGCTTCAGATAGGAGTCTTGTGAGGTGATAATAGGATTTTAAAACAATTTATGTTTAAACTTTTGTTCTTATTTATTTTTTTTTTTTCTGTCTCTCTGGCTATCAGCTGGGAAGGAGCTCTGGTGGTGTAGTGCCTAAGGCAGTTGACTGCTAACCAGAAGGCTGGCGGTTCAAACCCACCAGCTACCACTCCTCCGAAGGAAGATTGGGCAATCTATTTCTGTAGAGATACTGCCTCGGAAACCCAAGGAGGGGTTGCTATGAGTTGGATCCAACTTGACGGCAGTGTTTTTGGTCTTTTTGTTTGTCTTTTTGGGCTGGGAACAAGTACCTTAAGCTTCTAACAGAGGGAAGTAGACAGATTCCCAGGCTATTTGATGTTTGCAAGCTTGCATTTTCCTGGGAAGCCTCTTAGTCAACAAACAACAATACAAATCACTTTATCTTATTGCTGTCAGAGTTGTCAGAAATTAGTTTTCTTGGGGGCCCTTTCGGGTCAGGAACTTAATTGAAAAGCGTTGAAGAGACTGTAGTTTGGAAATGCCACAGTATTACAGATTGGCAGTGTTTACTAAGCATTCACTGTGTGTCTTAGCTCCCTGAGTAGTGCAAATGGTTTGCCCCTGACTATTAACCCCAGTGTTGATGGTCTGAACCCACCCAGTGGCACTGCGAATGAAAAGCCTGGAGATCTGCTTCCATAAAGATTACAGCCAAGGAAACCTATGGGACAGTTCCACTGTAACACATGGGGTTGCCTGCCATCCATGAGTCGGAAGTGACTCCATTACAAGGTTTTTTTTTTTTTTCACTATGTATCTTGTGCTGTTCTGAGTATTGTCCATTTTCAAATCACGAGCCTACTATCAGTGCACTCTTTCACCCAACTCATAGCGACCCCCACTGGGTTTCTGAGGCAGCAAATATTTACAGAAGTAGATTGCCCCATCTTCCTTCTGAGGAGCAGCTGGTGGGTATGACCTGCCAACCTTCTGGCTAGCAGTCAAGTGTCTTAGGCACTGCGCCCCCCAGCGCTCCTTTACTCTTTCACCACCATCCCATTTTATAATCAAACGAGGAAGCCTAAGGTCACAGCAAGCAAATACTAGAGCAGGACTTGAAGCCAAGCTGTGCAGGGCCAGGTCTCTTAGCCTCTTACTGTGTTACCTGTCCCATGGCAACCAGACTGCCTCTCTGGTCCTCCATGGGCTTTTCCACCGAAGGGGAGGCACCGTGCACAACGGAAGAGGAAAACGGTTTGCTGCAAATGTTAATGTAGCTCTTTCTTATTTTCCAGGTTTTGGAGGTGCGCTGGGCTACCTTCTGGGTGCCATCGACTGGGCCCACCTGGAACTGGGAAGAGTGCTGGGCACAGAATTTCAGGTCATGTTCTTCTTCTCAGCCTTGGTGCTCACGTTGTGTGTTGTTATTCACTTGTGCAGTATCCCTGAAGCCCCACTCAGAGATGTGGCAGAGGATGTTCTCCCACAGCAAAGCCCCCAGGACCCTCTGCTGCCATCAGTCAAAATGCATGAGCATGGTTCTATCGAGAAAGTGACAAACGGTTATATAAACCCAGAGCTGGCAGTTCAGGGGGAAAAATCCCAAAATCTTGCTGAACAGGTAAAGATGCAAATTCCTTTGTCTTCATGTGGAAAAAATATTCTTGCCCTCTCTTTCTTTCTATAGTGTTCTGTTTTGCCTTTGTTTTGTTTGTATGATGTGAAGTTTTAAAAAATCTAATCGAATCCCCAGATTCCCAATAGCTGTTATCCCTTGGCATTCAAACTTCACACTTCAAAGAAAATTATGTGCCTTTTCCTTGGCCTTTTGTCTCTCATCCTTTCACAGCCTTGCACCAAGGAAGATAAAGCCAGTTCTGGAAGGTTAGGCCGTAAGAGAAGCGGGGAACCACTCTCAGGCCAGAAGAAATATCTTTACCTCTCGGATTAGGATTACAAATCTGTTCCTTCAAGTGGCACCATCCCTGGTTTGGTGACTGGGTCCAAAACTAAAAACCACACCGAACCCACTGCCACTGAGTTGATCCTGACTCATAATGACCCCTGTTGTGTTTCTGAGATGGTAAATCTTTATGAAAGTAGATTGCTCCATCTTCCTTCCACGGAGTGGCTGGTGGGTTTGAACCACCAACCTTCTGGTTAGCAGCCAAATGCCTTAGGCACTATGCCACCTGAGCTCCTTGGTGACTGGGTCCAGCGTATTGAATTTGTGTGTCGTGATTTGATTCGTTGCTCCTTTTAGGCCATTTCCTGTAGACTGCACAGTGAATCCATTAGCTTAATAATTTAAAGGAGACTCAATGAAATGCCAGAGAAATGGGACCAGGTTAAAATGAAATGGTCACAGAATATCCTAGAACTATTTTGATTGATATTGTAGCTACTAGCCCTTTGGGTCTATTAATTTAAAATTGAATAAAATTAAAACTTCAGCCCCTTAGTTGTAGTAGCCACATTTGAAATCTCTGTAACATCATGGGGCCATGCAAAGATAGAAGCATGCAGATATAGAACATTTCCATCCCCATAGAAAGTTCTGTTGGACAACATTGATACAACTCCATCTTCCCTCAAACTCAGTTTGAATGCCAGTCCCTCAGGGACATAATACAAAGGACTTCTGCACTGGCAAAGACATTGTTAGCAGATCGGGGTTCTTCCAGCTGGCTGACCATACTTTTCATTCAACAAATAATTATTGGGTACCTGCTGTAGTACAACAGAAAGGTTAGGAGCATGGGTGCTCACATCTTGATTCCGCCACCTCTGAGCTGTGTGACCTTGGGCAAGCTGCTTAACTTCTCTGTGCCTCACTTTCTTCTATAAAATGAGGAAGTACGTCTGCCTACTTCCAGGGTTTCTATACCAATTACATGAGATAGCAAAGTTACTTAGTGTGGTGCCTGCCTTCATACACACAAATAGTAAGGTGTGATGTATGGGAGTTGGTGCTATGAGTCCCACAGAGTGCTGAGTGCTCTAAGAACAAACAGCACTATCTCTCACAGACCTCTCAAACAAGTGCAGTGAGCTCCCCTTCCCTGTTGGCTTTGTTGATACTTTATATCAGTATATAATAACAACAACAACAACAAAAAAAAAAACCAGTTACTGTTGAGTCAATTCCCATTCACAGTGACCCATGTGTGTCAGGGGAGAACTACACCCGACGACAGCGTTTTTAACGGCTGTGGGCTTTCAGAAGCAGATCACCACGACTTTGCTCTGGGTTGCCTCTGGGAAGATTCTACCTGCCAGCCTTTCAGGGAGTAGCCAAGGGCTACAACCCAGGGACTCCTGTATCGGTATATAAAATAAAACCCAAACTCACTGCCTCCAGTCGGTTCTGGCTCATAGCAACCCCCTTTGGTTTTCCCAGGCGGTAAATCTTTAGGGAAGTAGATTGCCCAGTCTTCCTTCCACAGAGTCGCTGGTGGGTTTGAACTGCCAACCGTCTGGTTAGCAGTCAAATGCCTTAGGCACTACAGTAAAGGAGAGGGGGAAAGGAAGGAGAATCGGGCAAGAAGTGTTTCAGACTGCAGTGCAGTTTTAAAAAGGTTTCAGCCAGGCCAATATGGAGTCCTCTAGGCAGAGTTACTGATTAGAGGAGCCCTGTCTATAAGCTCTGGTGGCATAGTGCCTGAGGCATTTGACTGCTAACCAGAAGGTTGGCAGTTTAAACCCACCAGCCTCCGTGGAAGGAAGACTGGGCAATGTACTTCCATAAAGATTTACCACCTTGGAAACATGCTAACACTAGTAGCACCATCTTGCTTTGGCCTGTGAGGAGCAGCCCTGGAAAAGCAGCCTTAGAGGGAATGGATGGTGGCTACAGAGGGACAGCAGTTGGAGCTGTCAGTAACCATGCTCCCAGCAGCAGGAGATCTCAGTGGAAATTTCCATGATGCCACAGCTGGCACGATAATGATTGCTGTTAATTTCACAAGAGGAAGAGATCTTGTCTGGGCTTCATGGAAGAGATGACCTTTGAGTTATGCTTTGAATGATAGTTGGGATTAGAGCAGGTAGTGGGAAGTCTTAGCAGAGAGAATAGTTTCAGCAAAACCACAGAGTTTAAAACTTTAAAAAAATGTCAGGGATGTTTTGGGGAAATATAACTGGTTTAATTGATCACACAATTTGTAAAATTGGAAACAAAGATAGGAAAGCTGACTGGAGACAGATCATGGGGAAGGTGCTAGACTATGCAGCATATCGTGCTGCAGCGGGAAATAACAGGTCTCTGAGCCCTGGCCAGACCACCCTTCCTATACCCAGCTGCCTGGGGAGGAGTACCCACACTCCCTGTGCCGCCTTCTCTACCAAATCAAACTCTGGTTCCTTGATTTCTAGTTTGATTGGAGCCCCCTTGTGGTGCAATTCTGCAAAGCCTCATGGGAATCCTGGACTATTCTGTATGATGGAACCTAGGCATTCATTAGAAGGTGTGTGGGTTTTTGAGGATTTGTTTAAAATGTATTAGGAAACACACCTATACATACACAAAATAATCTCCATTTTGGGAGAATATATAGAAAAATGGGAAGGAAATATGCTGAAAATGTTAATTGAAGTTATTTTGGGGAAGTTGATGGGCTAACAAAGAGGTTTTCATTTTCTTTTCCTCTTTTTGTTGTGATTTGGGTGAAAGTTTATAGAGCAAATTGATTTTCCATTCAACAGTTCATACACATTTTGCTTTGCAACACTGAGTGCAATCCCCACAATGCAATAGCACTCTTCCTATTTCCTCTTGTGTTTACCATTTCCCTTCATCTCTCTTTCCTAGCCTTTCCTGCCTTCTTAGCTTCATCCCTGGGTAAAAAATGCTCTTCTGATGCCTTATGATTGCTTGTTCTAATGAGTGTATACCTTGCTAGTATTACTAACTGTTCATGTTATAGGCCTGACTATCCTTTGGCAGAAAGTTGAACTGCAGGGTTTACTTCCCATTTGAAGGATTTCTAAGGGTCATAGTCTTGGGGGTTCTACCAGTCTTTATCAGACAAAAAAAGCCTGATTATCTATCTATCTATCTATCTATCTATCATCTATTTATATCTATCTATCTATCATCTATTTATATCTATCTATCATCTATTTATATCTATCTATCTATCTATCTATCTATCTATCTATCTACAGACAGAGAGAGTTTTGTTCCACAATTTTGTCCCACTCCGTGCGGTATCTTCCATTGTTAGCCCTTTCAGAGTGGTCAGCAGTGGGAGCCAGGCATCATCTAGTTCTTCTTGTCTCAGGGTCATGGACGTAGGGGTTCTTCACATGGTCTGTTCGTCCTTTGGACTCACTTCATTGCATTTTTTATTTTCTTCACTTTTCTGTGTTCTAGATGGGGAAAGACCAATAGTTGCTCCTTAGATAGCTGCTCATAAGCTTTTAAGACCCCAGTCACTACTCACCAAAATAGGATATAGAGCGTGGTCTTTGTGGTCTATGTTTATGTCCATTGACCTTAGTGTCCCCAAGGCTATGATCCTGAGCCTCCAAGCCCAGCAACTCATTCCTTCAAGGTGCTTGGTTATGACTAAGTTTTCATAACTTTGCCCCTGTATGTCTGCCATTTTCATGGATATATTTGCAACACCTGTAAGTGTGTATGTAGAGATATCTTGTCAAACCTATATCTATTAATGAGTGGAGTCTCATTCAGCTTTCCACCCTATTCAGCTTGAGTATCTACGTATCCACTCATAGATGATTATTATTACTGTTATTGTATGGCTGTGTGTGTAATAGTATTCACCTTTGTTGCCTTTAACTCCTGTGCTCCTCCTGTGTCCCTCTGCTTTGATCATTTTGCGCTCACTTCCCACTTACTGTATATTGCCTTTCCCTTTGCCCAAGTTAATACTGTCTGCCCTGTAGTTAGTGATTTACCCTCCTTTGCTCTCCCACTCCTGATAACCTTCAAAGAATGGTGCTTTCTGTTTGTAAACTTTTTCTTGACTTTTTACAGTAGTGGTCTCATAGACTCTATGTCCTTCTGTAATTGACTAATTTCACTCAGTATAATGTCCTCTAGGTTCACCCAAGTTATGAAGTATTTTGCAGATTCATCATTATTCTTTAACATAACCTAGTATTCTATTAAGAAACACTGGTGGTGCAGTGGTGAAGGCATTTGGCTGTTAACCAAAAGGTCAATGGTTTGAACCCACCAGTTGCTCCATGGACGAAAGATGAGGCAGTCTGCTTCCATAAAGATGTACAGCCTTGGAATCCCATTGGGGGTCACTATGAGTCAGAATCAACTCTATAGCAGTGAGTTTGGTTTTGGTTTGGAGTATTCCACTGTGTGTATATACCATCATTTGTTGATCCATTCATCTGTTGATGGGCACTTAGGTTTTTCTATCCTTTTGCTATTGTGAATAATGGCGTGATGAACAGAGATATGCATATATCTCTTTATGTCATGGTTCTTAATTCTCTAGGATATATACCTAGTAATGGGATTTCAGAATCATTTACATTTCCAACTTCTTAAGGAAGTATCATGCCACTTTCCAAAGTAGTTGCACCATTGTACAGTCCCACTAGCAGTATATGAGGGTTCCAGCCTCTCCACATCCTCAC